GCCGGGAAGGGCACCACCCCCCCTTGCCTACACGGCCCGCCACCCAGGAGTGTTCGCGCCCACCTTGATGCGCCTTACAAGGATCCCTGCCGACTCCGCCCCCTGCTGGGTGCAGCGGGCGGCGTGAAAGCTGACTGTAACGGTACGCTCCCGTTTCCTTCTTGGCTGCAGGGCTCCTCCCAGTGGGTGACGCTGGAATTCCCGCAGACGGTCAAGGTTTCCCAAATCCAGCTTCAGTTCCAGGGTGGCTTTGCGAGTCAGCTGTGTACGCTAGAAGGTAAAGAGCCTCCGCAGCCGGGGACTGGCGCTCGGTGCCGTTCGTTCATCTCTGTGCCAGGGCCACTCCTCTTTCACGATCTTCTTGGCTGCAGGGCTCCTCCCAGTGGGTGACGCTGGAATTCCCGCAGACGGTCAAGGTTTCCCAAATCCAGCTTCAGTTCCAGGGTGGCTTTGCGAGTCAGCTGTGTACGCTAGAAGGTAAAGAGCCTCCGCAGCCGGGGACTGGCGCTCGGTGCCGTTCGTTCATCTCTGTGCCAGGGCCACTCCTCTTTCACGATCGAGGCCGGCTGGGGACATGCCAGCTGAACGGAGGCAAGAACTAATCCAGAGAGAGATCTGGGGCTGACGCAGTGGTGGCTGGGAGTTCTCCAGCACCTTTCATGGGAAACTGCCTTGCTGGAGAGCCAGGCCACTGGATCAAAAGCTCCAGCACGGCCTGTTAATTTCTGCAGCTCTGGATGTGTGGCAGCACCGGGCAGTGTGTCCAGAAGGTTGCACTGAGCTAGATATTTCCATCTCAGCTGTATTTAATTCAGCGTAAATCTTTGGCTTTCCCCGGACAGCTGGGCTATGTCTATACTGCAGCCTTCTTCCGCAAAAGGTTGCGCAAATGAAGCGCGAAGTAGAATATCTCCGCGCTTCATTTGCATAATTAATTAGCAGCCTTTTTGTGCGCAAGAGGCTTTGGCGCACAAAGGGGCTGTGTAGACGGCTCCTTTTGTGCAAAACTCCCCTCTTGTGCAAGAAACATTCTTCCTCACTTTTTTTTTCAGGAAGAAGGACTCTTGCACAAGAGGGTGTGTTTGAGCAAAAATGGCCCCTAAAATTAATTATGCAAATAAAACGTGGCGATATTCTACTCCATGCTTCATTTGCATAAGCTTTTGCAGAAGAAGGCTGAAGTATAGCGATGTGGGAGAACTTTGGTCCAGCTGGATGTCATAGGGCCTCGGCTGAATCCTGTTTTATAACTAGGGAAACTGAAGCGCAGAGAGAGGAGGTGGCTCGTGTAGGCTACAGGGCTGAGGGCTGGACAGATTTAAGTCTTTACAGTGCGGTAGGGATGTAAAACGTGTTTCATTAAGCAAATGTGATATTTTCAGCAGTTCCACGTGTACTCCCTGGGAGCCGGCGTGTGTGGGGAGCCAGCTTTTCAGCCGGCTCCCTACCCCTACCAGGCGCCTCCGTGTAACCATGTAGGTTAACTGATGAACCCAGGCTCATTGGTTAACCGGGTACACCGTTACACTTTCATATCCTTACAGTGCGGGGGGAGAACTAGGAAAGAGACCTAATTCTCGGCTTGAGCACCAGTCCTGTACTAAACGGGTAACTGGTTAACCTGGCTGTGTGATGCTTACCAGTAACCGGTTAACCGGCTCCCAGCGGCAGGCCGGTTAACCATTTAAACCTAGTGCGTAACCAGTTGGCACTTTGAACGGGAATTCTACATCCCTATCCTGCACTAAAGTCGGAGGGGTGGGATTTTTCAACCTTGCTGAAGACTGTTGGACACACGGTTCCCAGCATTAGACCCTCATTTTACTATGCCGGAGGGGTGGGATTTTTCAACCTTGCCGAAGACCGTTGGACGCACGGTTCCCAGCATTAGACCCTCATTTTACTATGCAACCTCCCCGACGCAGACATTTTCCTCCTTTCCCTTTGCTCCTCAGGCTGCCGGAAAGGTGACGAACTTGTGAAGATAGCCGAGTTCTACCCTGAAGATATCCATGCCCTGCAGATATCCTTTCACGCTCGTCGGCACGTGTCCAGCATTCATCGCCCTATCTAGCCGGGTGGTTGGTTCATTAGTTTACCCAGCCTGGGCGAGCCCGACCGAGGGGTGCGATATGGATGCTGAGCCATATTCCTGGAGGGTGAGGTTAGAATGCTTTGCCCTAGAGCACACAGCCCGCACCTCTGTGATCACCTGCACTGGATAGCCCAGGCCCAAAGACGTCCTTGAATTAATACAAGCCTGCACCAGAGCAGATTTTTAAAAAACAAACAAACAAAATCTTCCTGTTAAATCTGCTGGTGATGGAAAACCACCGCAGCCCTGCAGCTGTTGTCTCAAGGATGTGAATGGCTAACCAGTTAGCCTGGTTCCGGTTAACCCAGCCAAAACAGCCCCTGTCCAAGCGAGGGGGTGCTGCTCCACCCCCCGCCCCTTAATCCGTTAACATAAAGTTTAATCAGTTAACACATTAATGGACCTCAGTTGGAGTGTTGTGTCCAGTTCTAGGTACCACATTTCAGGAAAGATGTGGAGAAATTGGAGCAGGTCCAGAGAAGAGCAACACAAATGATGAAAGGTCTAGAAGATGTGAGCTGGGAGGGAAGACTGAAAGAATTTGGGCTTGTTTAGTTTGGAAAAGAGAAGACTGAGAGGGGACAGGAGAGCGGTTTTCCAGTATCTAAAAGGGTGTCACAAGGAGGAGGGAGAAAAATTGTTCTCCTTGGCCTCTGAGGACAGGACGAGAAGCAATGGGCTTGAATTGCAGCAAGGGAGGCTTAGGTTGAACATCAGGAAAAACTTCCTACCTGTCTGGGTGGTGAAGCACTGGAATAAATTGCTGAGGGAGGTTGTGGAATCTCCATCTCTGGAGAGATTGAAGAGCAGGTTGCATAGACGCCTGTCAGGGATGATCTAGATGGTGCTTGGTCCTGCCGAGAGTGCGGGGGACTGGACTTGACGACCTCTCGAGGTCCCTTCCAGTTCTAGGGTTAAACAGGATTTCACATCCCTAATGCTCACTGACAGGGTCTGGTCCCATTGAAAGGGAGCAGGGGGCCTTACATCTGGGTGAACAGTTGCTGGGTGGAATTTTTGCACTTTGAGTTTGCGGGCAGGTACCAGGGAAGCTGGCAGAGTGGGGGGTGAGAGGAACCCTAGTTTTGCTGGGGAGGTAGCACGTGTCTTAGCTCACCTCCTGCATGGATGGGGCTGTGCTGGGTGACTCTCTCGCTACTGTGTCATGTGTCCCTGGTGTTGTCCTTTACTGCTCCCTCCACAGCTTCAGGACCGAAGAAGCGACGCTGGATAAGCTGAAAATCACCTTTGAGAACAGCACGGATTTCTTCGGGAGGGTCGTCGTGTATCGCCTCGGCGTCCTGGGGGAGAAGCTGTAACCGGGGCCCGAAATGGCCGAGCCGAGTGGTGGGGTCTGATTGCCCAGCCTGGTGGCATGAGCTGGCACAAGGCGGCATGTTTGGCAGACAGCCCCTCTTGGGAGATGCCAGACTTGTTCTGCAGTCGAAATGTAACCACGCGGCAGTAAACCAGGCAGAAAATAGCCTTGGGCAGTAATACAAAGCTGGGACCCTGGCCCCCTCCCATCCAGCCCATTGCTGGTTACCTGCAGCTTCACAGCAGTGATCTCCAACCCCTGGGAGCAGACCGGGGTGCCCAGGGGCTGAGTGCAGGCCAGAGTGGGACAGATCACATGCCATGAGCTAGTGGCTTGTCACGTGGTGAGGCTCCAATTTAGTGGCTGAATAATCTCTACACAACCACTCACCCCACCTCCAGCGTGGTCCGTAAGGCAGGAAGCATTTAAACAAACCCCAGACTGAAACCCCCCAGCTCAGCCCTGTTCTGCCCGGCCAGTGGGGTCACGGAGGTGGCAGCTCCAAAGATCACGAGTGATGCTGTGGAGCGAGCCGTAGCGGCTGCGGCCTGGTCAATTTCAGACCCTTGTCGGGCGTGAGAATTCCACCCCGCCCTTTCTCGGGGAAGGTGAGCGCTGAGTTGCTCTGGCAAGCCGCCCTACGGATTTAAATTGCCTTCGGCCTCATTGGCTGGAGCTGAGGA